GGCTTGCGTGTGACAGATTTTTAAAAGGCTGTATTGTGAGTAACCCCTACATTTTGTGCATGACTTTGTCATAACAGCACAGTTCAAGTCATCAGTGCTGGGCACGAAGGTTTGATTTTATTTTTAAATCCCATTCTGAGTCTGACTTTTGGTTACCCTTTAAAGTGTTTTCTTTAGACCAGCAGAAAGTGACAGAGCTTACTGTTCTACTGACTCCTGCAGGGGAGACACAGTGGCAACCTCTGACCTCCTGGTTAACTTGACAGAATGAAACAGTGTGCACCGAAGTCTGTAGAACCCGCTATATTGGGAAATGTAATGAATTGAGATTTGATGGAAGTAAAACTTTTCATAAAATTCTGATAGCATAGATTAGAATTATGTGAAATAAAGAACTGTAACCGGTGGTCTCAGTGTTGAGGTTGAAAATTGTAGGCTCTGGTCTCTCCTGATCTGAAGTGATAGAATCATTGAATCTCCATGGGTAAATGCGAGGGTTTACCAAAGCCTCTCGTCCCAGGTGCTGGTGAAAGCAGGCAGTTTTTGAGGGTTCCATCTTGATATGCATGTTTCTTTTGTTTTGTTTTGTTTTTTGAGGTGGAGTCTTGCTCTGTGACCCAGGCTAGCGTGCAGTGGCACGATCTCGGCTCACTGGAACCTCCACCTCCTGGGTTCAAGCGATTCTCCTGCCCTAGCCTCTTAAGTAGCTGGGATTACAGGTGCATGCCACCATGCCCGGCTAATTGGTATATTTTTTAGTAGAAATGGGGTTTCACCATGTTGACCAGGCTGGTCTTTAGCTCCTGACCTCAAGTGATCCACCTGCCTTGGCCTCCCAAAGTGCTGGGATTACAGGGTGAGCCCTTGCGCCTGGCCTTGATTTGCATGTTTCTGATACGCAGGAATGAGCCGCTCAGGACCACCTGTTCCGTTTTCAGCAGCCGTCATTCTCAGAGTCCTACCCAGAACCTCGTGCCTCCTTTGGCCCAGGACTGAGTTTCATGCTGACGTCTCCTCCCCTGGTTCTCTTCTTCCTCACACACGGGTTCTGGGAGCTCAGTCCCCACCTCCCCTCCACAGGTGGCCATGGCTTCCTGTGTCTTCCCTTTTCCTGCTTTTTTGGCTGTAGACTGTTTCCGGGTTCACCATGGAGAGACAGACTTGTCACTTCGAAACCTCCCCAGGATTCTCCAGAGAGACACAGGGGTGATGGTGGTGGTGGTGGTTTCTGGTGCATGATACAGGTGGGAGAAGGAGGGGGAAAGTACTTCATAAGAGCTCCAGCTTTGGACTCCTGACCCTGAGACAGCAGTGGCTCAGGGTGATTGCCTGTCCTTTCTGAGATCTCCAGATTGCCCTGTGAGTATCCCTCCATGATGGTTCCTGGAAGGGTTGTGAGGCAATGCCTATACAGCACTGTCTTAGTCTGTTTTGTGTTCCTGTAACAGAATACCTGAGGCTGCATAATTTATAGAGAAAAGAGGCGTATTCAACTCCTGATTCTGGTGGTGTTTCGGGGCAAGCTGTGGACAAAACCCCTCGGACACCAGAGTGAGGAAGGAAGAGACTTTATTTGGCCATGGAGCATCGGCAGATTTGTGACCCGAAAACCAAGCTCCCCAAAGAGCAGTTCCTTTCGCTTTTAAAGAGCTTACAACTCTAAAGGGGGCGCAGAGGTGAAACTGTGTTATTGCCCATTGGCTGGGCGGCTGACCTCCAAGTCTTTGGCTTTCACTGATTTGCTAATTTGTATTTGGCGTGTGCAGGAAGGGAAAAAAGGGAAGGGTTACAGGAGTTGAACAAAGGCAGTAAATCACCTGGTGGGAGATGCAACTCTAAGCGGGGCTCTGGATTGTGCAAACATGAAGTACGTGACTGGGGGCAGGTTCCCGGGTCAGAGGGAGAACATTCCTCTGCTACATTCTCAAGGTTTATAGATAACATAGACACCAGTTACAGAAGGAGAGTTATTTTCCCAGCCCTCAGGCCTCACTGTGGCAAGGCCACTGGCATCACTGACAGCTGACTTCAGCTTCTTGCTATTTTACTTTTTCTACCAGCAAGCAACAGGCAGGAAATAAATGGCTTCCCCTCACAGTGGTTGCAGTCTAAGGTGGGCGGCTTCATCTGGTGAGGGCCTCAGGCTGCTTCCATTCTTGGCAGAAAAAGGAAGGGGAGCAGGTGTGTGCAGAGAGATCACATGGTGAGAAGAAGCAAGAGAGAAACCTAGGAAGCCAGACTTAACAATCCACTCTTGAGGGACCTCGTCCATTCTTTCAAGAGCCAGAATTCACTCCTGAGGGAGGGCATTCATCTACTCACGAGGTATCTGCCCCCATGACCCAGACACCCCTTACTAGACCTCAGCTCCCAACACTGCCACTTTGGGGATCAGATTGCAACATGACTTTTGGAGGGGACAGACCACAGTCAAACCACAGCAAGCCTGTAGCAGAGAGGTGACACCCAAACACAGCAGAACTCTTAGGATGTTCCTAGGAGGATGATGGCTGCTTTGTAGAGTTGGAAGTTGCTGACAGGCTAGGGCAGGCAGGGGACTACAAGAGGGTCTGGTTCAAGTTGAGGCCAGACAAGGAGGATGGGAAGAAGCTCTGGACTTTCTCTGCAACAGGTTTGCTGTCCTTAGATACTGCATCAGGATGCTGGGGCAGATCCATGGTGCTGAGCTGATGCCTCTGACTAGTGCACTGGAAAGCAGATTTGGTACGAGGTACCCAGTGCTGTTGGGAGGCAGGGGATTGTCAGCAGAGCCACCAGGTGCCACCCTGTGGTGTTTTCCAGAAGATGACTGCTTTCTAATTCACTTCACTGTGTCTTTGAAGCTCTAATCTTGGTGTCAGTCGTCTTCTCTGGAGGCTATAGGACCCATTGACTTTTTTTTTCAGGAAGCGTATTTCTGCTTGAAGGGCTTCAGCCCCTGGGTGGGACTGAATGTTAGAGAACCACCAAGGAAAGGTTTTCTCTCCTGATGGCTTTTTCTTTTTTGGATATTTCACTGTAAGTCACTTTATCGAAGTAAAAGTCGAGGAGGCCATTCTAAGCAAGATAGCCTTTCAATTCAGCCTCTTTGACTTTACAAAAATGATCCTCTTCCCTCAATTTCTGAGAGTTTACAAAGTATTAGGAGAGACTTTATTTTCCTACTTAATAATTTAAAAATTTCAAGAAGGCTGGGTGTGGTGGCTCACACCTGTGATCTCAGCATTTTGGGAGGCTGAAGAAGGAGGGTCGAGGTTGGGAATTCAAGATCAGCCCTGGCTAACATGGAGAAACCCATCTCTACTAAATATACGAAAATTACCTGGGCATGGTGGCACAAGCCTATAATCCTAGCTATTAGAGATTACAGGAGATTCACTGGAACCCGCGAGGCAGAGATTGCAGTGAGCCGAGATCACACCGTTGTACTCCAGCCTGGAGGACAGAGCAAGACTCTGTCTCAAAAACAAAAATAAAAATAAAAATTTCAAGTCGACGAAAAGTAATGATAGTCTCCAAAAGAAGGCATTCTTATTTGATCCCACTTCCCGTGGCCCATCTGATGGGATCAGATATCAGTTCTGCACAAGCCCCAAGAGGGAAAGCGGTATTTATTCTTGGCCAGAGACACAGGCTCTTGCTTCTAGAAGCTAAATGGGTTGAACATCAGCATCCACTGGACGTTATTGCAGGAAGATAATCTAAAGTTCTGAAACTCTTGTGTGCATTTTGGACGGCTCTTTCTGTTGTATGTTCTTTTCTTATCATGACCTTGCCAATTGGTTCAAATAATGTTTACGGCTTATTATTTCCGTTTAAAATGGCACCATTCATATTTATGCTGTGTGTACGTTAAGATGCATTATTTGATGCTTTTTGACTGTACAAGTTTTATCTTATATACAGCCTTAAATGTTTGGGGAATTAATTGCTTGATTTCCTTCAAGCCTGGGTATATGGGTTTGTGAAATTCAAATAGTTATGATTTTGGCCAGGTGCGGTGGCTCACGCCTGTAATCCCATCACTTTGGGAGGCTGAGGTGGGCAGATCACCTGAAGTCAGGAGTTTGAGACCAGCCTGGCTGACATGCAGTGAAACCCCATCTCTACTAAAAAAAATACAAAAATTAGCTGGGCGTGGTGGCACACTCCTGCAGTCTAAGCTACTTGGGAGACTGCTCACGCCTGTAATCCCAGCACTTTGGGAGGCCAAGGGGGAAGGATCACCTGAGGATCATGCCTCTGCACTCCAGCCTGGGCAACAGAGCAAAACTCCGTCTCTCAAAAAAACAAAAGAAACCAACCCCCACCCCCAACAAATAGTTAACTATTTTAAGAGCCCTGCTGTGCATTTGATGGTCTTTCTCTTTAGTCCTTGTGGTTGGAGACACACAACTTTGTTGGTTTCTGTCCCCGCAGTAGGCTGGAGTTGGGAGCCCCGGACTGGCTAGGCACTGGGTTGCAGGCAGCTGGTTGGTTTGTGTTGTTGACTGGCTGGATGGCCCCACGCACTCCAGCTGTTCTTTTAGGCCTCATTTTCTTTTTTTCCCCTTAAAATGACGCCAGAGTCCGTGCTTTATCTGTATAACAATTAGTGCTGTTCTTCATACACATCACAGCCCTTTCTCAGTGCTCGATGGTTTCTTTCACCTTGTCCTGCAGCCTCCCTGCAGGCCGCGGTGTCCACTGAAGCTGATTTCAAGTGAATACATGAACGTGTAGCAAAGAAGTGTTGAAACAAGCCTCATGTTATTCACCCCAGGGAACCCAGTGTCCCTCTTGATTTCATCAGTACAGTCACAGTGGAATGTCCTGTGTTTTCCTTTCTTCAGTCAACACCTCTAAGCGGACTGAAGCTTTGTGAAAAATGCAGCCATATTCTTCTAAACTGTGGAATTAGCTTGTGTCTTGCATGAAGGATTTTCTGTTCTCAGTTGCAGGCCAGCACCTTTCTGTTCTGCACTCCCGAACTGATACTCTGTTCTTTTGTTTTTTAACAGAAGGCTCAAGCTTGGAGGAAACTGGCTTCAACTGGGGAGAATATTTGGAAGAGACAGGAGCAAGTGCTGCTCCTCACACGTCATTCAAACACGTATGTAAAGCAGCTTGTGTCCTCTGCTCTGTGTCTAGAAGGTGGGAAGGAAAGGAGTCTGCAGGGAAAAGCCAGAGAACCCAATGGAAGGAGGGCAGTGGAAAGAGGGAAATCTGTGGCCAGGCACGGCAACTCGCACCTGTAATCCCAGCACTTTCGGAGGCTGAGGCAGGTGGATCACTTGAATCTAGGAGCTCAAGACCAGACTGGGCAACATGGCAAAATCCCATCTCTACAAAAATTAGCTGGGCATAGTGGCGCCTGTAGTCCCAGCTACTTGGGAGTCTGAGGTGGGAGGGTTGCTTGAGCCCAGGAGGTGGAGATTGCAGTGAGCTGAGATTGTGCCACTGCGCTCTAGCCTGGGGGATAGTGTGAAACCCTGTCTCAAACAAAAAGGAAAGGGGGAGATTCAGCCAAAATTGCTTAGGAAGGAGGAGGAGACCTGGAAGTTAGGTTTAGTTTGCCCGGATAGCTACAGGGAAAATAGACCACAGGTGAGGTCAGTTTGAGTCAGTAAAGAGCCAGAAAACTAAACAAGCAGGTGAGATATCTTCTTAGTAGGTATAATGGCTATATGTTCAATTAATATTTTAATTTTGAAAAAGCTCACAAAAGATTTCCAGCTATTCATGGGCAGATGAGTCAGATTAGAGGAACTAACCGTAAATTTCATGAAAACATTTGGATCTAACAAAAAAACCATTTTCATTACAAGTCTTTCTTTGAGTAATTCAATAGCATGCCCAGCAGTGGGCAAGTCCCAGAAAATTTAAAAAAAAAAAGTGAGTTTTTAGCAGGTTTTTGCTTTGGTGTAAGATAGTGATAATATATAATATCATTAGCAGGGAAAGGACTAACTCACATGGGTTCTAAGAACTTGGGCCCTGGAAATTTCGTCTTTAATTGTTTTTTTAAAGCAAATGGAAATGGAGATACAACTCTGAGAAACGTTTTTCACTTTGTCCATACAGGACAAAGATTCATCCTGAGTTTCATAAACAAATCGGGGTGCTTTCTTAACCTGTTCTTCCTTTTGGCGCCTTGGCTGAGTGAGGAAGCCAGAACTTTGATTGCTTATTTTTATTTATGTATTTTCTGGGTCTCACCATGTTGCCCAGGTTGGCCTCAAACTCCTGGGCTCAAGCAATCCTCCTACCTTAGCTGCTCGAGTAGCTGGGATTACAGGCATGCACCACCATGCCCGATTGGATTCCATATTTTAAAACAACATTTATTCTTTTTGGAGGTGAAGTGTCCTTTCAAAAGGAATTTAAGATTTTGATTAAATTTCTGTGACTGCGAAAAGATAGCTCATGTTCCATTTCTCTTTATACTCATCATGCTATATTTACTAGTTCATTTTGAATGTGACTGTAGCTATTTAGTAAAACCAAGAGCTAAATATTAAAGCAATCATAGCACAGCTTTCAAGTGTACGATGTGGTTACAGTTCCACAAAAGCCATTTAACATTTACATCTTAAGATGCTGCGATGATTTGGCAGTTGTCTTAGGCAGTTTAGGAAAGAGACATTGATCACAACTTTTTCCCTTCCTTCCTGTACTGAGAAGTTATCAGTTTCTCTCTGTAGGGAGTCACTCCCATTTTTCTTTGATTCAGTCAATCCTCCCACCTCCCTTTTAATCACAATATAGTGTCCAGGGGCGCAGAGCTGGAGGCTGTCCCTCAGGATGCAGAAGTCCCCAGATCTGTGTGCCAGGTTTAAAGGAAAAGTAGCCTTAGACCCATGCAAGTGTGATTGATAATTCTGTCATCTCCTTTAAGCAATGGGCCACTTGTGGACAGTGGATATGTCAGCTTTGGAATGTTAAGATCCACCAGGCTGGAAAGCTTTTCCTGGGGGTGGGGGCTGGTAAATATCAATAGACTGTAACCCTTAATTAAAGATCAAATCCATTTTCTAGGGCTGTGCTGTTCATGGAATAGCCACTATCCTGTGGTCCTTGTGAGCCCTTGAAACGTGTGTAGTCCACATTGAGACATTCAGCTGTGCTCTGAGTGTAGATACACACCAGGTTCTGGAGCCTTTATTCAAAAAGAAGAAAGTTGGTCATTTCATTAATGTTTTTTTATAGTGATTACATATTGAGATGATAATGTTTTAGACATATTGGGTTAAAATATATTGTTAGAATTAAAGTAATTCTTTCTTTTAAACGTGGCTGGCTGTAAAGGTAATGTTTAGCATTACGTTTGTGGCTTCCATCTTATTTTATTAGACAAATGTACTCCTGTTTTAGAGCAATGGGAATATTGTTTGTAAGTGCCATACTTTTTAGTGGTTTTTCTAATCTTCTGGATGTATGTGTCTAGCATAGTAACGGATTTTCTCTATTTCTCATTCCTTAAGGTTGAAATCAGCATTCAGAGCAATTTCCAGCCAGGAATGAAATTGGAAGTGGCTAATAAGAACAACCCGGACACGTACTGGGTGGCCACGATCATTACCACGTGTGGACAGCTGCTGCTTCTGCGCTACTGTGGTTACGGGGAGGACCGCAGGGCCGACTTCTGGTGTGACGTGGTCATAGCGGACTTGCACCCTGTCGGGTGGTGCACGCAGAACAACAAAGTGTTGATGCCCCCGGACGGTGAGCCCCTGTTTCGAAGGCTTCCATTTACAAGCTGTCATCCTTCATGATGCCTGTAGTTTTGCAAGGAGCAGAGAGAACCCTGCATAGAATCCCTAATGGTCTTAGTGTCAAGGTCTCCCAGTCCTTTTAGCATTGTTTCTCAGGCTTCGTTAGCTGGAGGGAAGTCCGTGCATTTCCAGATGGCGGAGCTGGTCCTGACAGTGGAGCCAACCTTGGCCTTTAGGGACTGAAAGTGCGCCTAATCCTGAAATTGCTTTTGGAGGGTAAGAAAGGAAGGCTGAAGGGACACCAGGAATTGAGGTCTTCTGTTTGGCGATTGGCCATGTTGCTTTTCTTCTGCTTCAGCAAGTCGACGTTTTGAACAGTACCTGTAGAGCGTCTTAAGCAGGAGTCTCTAATAACTTTTTATCTCTTGTTGGGAAGCTGTCAGGGTGTCCGGCTTTTAGAAAACCATACAGATGAGAGAAATGACACTACTCTCAAGGGAATGGTCAAAGCCCATATAGACATGGTGAATGTAGTTGCTACAAAGCCACTATTCTCTACTGGGGCAGTTTTACCCTAACCCCAGGGGACACCTGGCAATGTCTGGAATCATTTTTGAGCGGGGGGCCCTTGGAGTTGCTCCTGGCATTTAGTGGGTAGAGGGCAGCAATGCTGCTAAACCCCCTCAATGCACAGGGCAGCCCGATAACCGGTGATTACCAGGCTCAGCCTGCCAGCAGTGCTGAGGGAAGAGAGCCTGCTGTAAAAGAATGGGCTGCACATGACAAATGCATTGAAGGAATTCGTCTGATCCTGTAAGTGAGAAAATTGAGGGCAGCCTAATACATGAATCTCGACACCCCACTCTCTATTTATTTTGTGATAATGACAGCAGGGATACTTGCAGGCTCTGGATGCCACCTTGCAAACATGTGTGGTAGCCTCTTCGTAACTAGCTGCCTGTTTTCATCTTGAAGTGACGCATAAACTTGGAGAGGCGAAATCCCCAGGTTCATTCTGTCCATGGTATTAGCAGTTGTGTTACTTAGCCTTTCACAGTATTGGAGCTTTATCTCTTTTTTTTTTTTTTTTTTTTTTTTTTTTTTTTTTTAGGTTATGACATACTGCTTTTCTGATTATTGGGAATGGCCTGTGGTTTTTAACTACCCTTAGTTATGCGTAATTGATGGCCTGCTAAGAAGGGGATCATAAAAGTGGCCGGAGTTAAGAGTTGGATTTATGTGATGTTTGTCAGGATCGAACCCGTCACCATGGGCTTAGCTGACATTGTGACCCTTTATTGTCTCCGAAGAAAGAGAAAAAGGGTCTTCCTTCTGTCTTTCCTGCTTTGGATCTTTGCACCTGCTCTTTCCCACGCCAAGAACCTCCTTCCTTTCTGTGTCCTCCTCCCCCAGCCGTCAGCGTAGCTCCTCTTCCTCCCGCACTGAGGTCGACAGGCCAGGTCGACAGGCCAGGTCACGCCCTGTCTGCACCACGTGGCTGCCTGGCCCTTCAGTGTTCATCACGGTTGCAGTTGTACTTTCTTTCTTTCTTTCTTTTTTTTTTTTTTTTTTTTTAAGATCTAATTCTCATGCCATAAAATTCACCACTTTAAAGTATACAGTTCAGTGATTTTTTTAGTGTATTCATGGGGCTGTGCAACCATTATCACTAATTCCAGAACATTTTTTTTTATCACCTGCAAAGTCACTCCCCATTCTCCCCCTCACCGGCAAACTCCTGGCAATCACTAATGTACTTTCTGTAGATTTTCCTGTTCTGGGCATTTTACATGCGTGGAATCCTAGGCTGTGTGGCCTTTTGTGTTTGGCTTATCCCCCAAGGATAGTGTCCTCAGGGCTCATCCCCTCAGTAACTTGCATCAGAATTTCCTTCCTTTTTTTTTTTTTTTTTTTTAGACTAGTCAAGTGCAGTAGTGAGAAGCAGGGAAAGAGTAGAACAAGGAGTTCGATCGGTTAACTGACCGCGAACAATCAATTGAGATAACTCACTACCTTCAGACCAGCCGGAATTTCCTTCCATTTTAAGGCAGAATCATATTCTCTGGCATGGATCAATCACATTTTGTTCTCCATGCGTCAGTGGGTGGGCATTTAGATGCAGCTGTACTTTCACTTGGGTGGTTTTTTGAACAGAGTGCACTTTATCTCCCCAGAGAGTAAGCTGCCTGGTGTGAGCCCACTCACCTGTGTCCACCAGCTCTGGCACGCGCTGCCTGTGTTTGAGGAATTCGCAGTAAGGTTCATCGAGTAATTGAGTGATCTCGTAAAGAAGGTGAAAGTGCGGCTCGCATGGTAGTCTGAAATAGGAAGGAAAAGAACGGTTCCTGTCACCAAGGCGGGAAGCGTGTGTGCCCTACTTCACCTTCCTTCCTTCTGCTGTCAGTAGTGCTGCGTGTACCTTCTCTCTGGAGCTGCAAGCGTGGATTTCCAGCCTCTCTATTCAGGTGCATGGTGGACAATAGCTGTTACTAAGTCAGGTTTTATCTTTAGTTCCCACTCCAGCTCTGCATAAGCAAATTGTAGGGTCAGGAGGCACACCCTGGGAGGCACAGTGCATGCTCATGCTTTTGGTAATGTCTGATTCACTCAGCCCCAGACCCAGCCTAAATGGGTCCTGAGTGACATTGTTAGAACTGCCTTTGAATTAAAACTGCCACTGAGGTAAGAGGCTATGGGGTAACATTTGGTTAATTTACCTATGATTTCTGATCTGTTGTGAAATAAATCAGCCTTGACGGATAAATTATACTGATGGAATATTGGGGAAATATCAGGTCTAGTTAGAGATTTAGAGACTTTCCTCCTACCCCCAGCTCTGCACGCAGGTGCCACACATTTATGCCCCTGTACACACGGGAGGTGCGTTTATGCTGGGGGGCCATGTACACACTTGGGAGCACCAGGAGATGGGCATACAGAGGGGCCACATAGAGAGGGTGGGAACCTCAGGCCCTTTTGTCACTGAGGGTTTTACCATCACATTCATGACTCACGACTCAGGTTTGCACTTGAGTCTTGAAAGGCGCTTGGAAAGCATGTAAGATGGTTTCATTTTGTAATAGCTTCTCTAGTGAATAGCTGTAGAGACAAGTTCTGGGGTCTTGAATCTTAGTACTCTAAGAGCTAATGGATTCACTTGGTAAAAATCCATGCTGTTGCTTGAGAAAGAGGGTAGAGTTTATTAATCAATTCTTCCTTCTCCCTCGGAAGACAAATGTGGCAGCAGTCAGAGTCTCGGAAACCCCGTCAAATTTGTATTCTACTGACTTTGTGCTATTAGGCAGGACACAGCCGCACTTAAAATGACAAGTTCAAAAAGAAAAATGAGAAAACCTTGGAAAAAGGGAAACCATGAATGTGATGGAAATATTTAAAGTCTTTTCAATTGGTAACAATGTATGCTAATTTGAGGAATTCTTCAGTGATTATTTTTTAAAGAACTCAAAAAAATTTAGTAGGTAATCAATATGACTTGGAAATCTTTAGTATGGAGAGCAAAGTCAGGAAATAGCAGGATCATGGGGCAAGAGGTTTTATTGATTGCTGTAGGACAGAATAATTATTGCTGTGTAGCCACAGGCAGCAGTTGTTCCAGAGGGAATAGTAGAATCTATTTTTTGAACAAGGATTCTTGTTCGTGTGGTTTTTTTCCTGTCTTAAATAGCTGATACCATTATAAATTCTGCAACGGTACCTGGTCGATCTTTACTGTGGTTAAACTTGAAAGGCACCGCAGAATATGAACAGGAGTTATAGCAATCCGTGATGCATAATGTTTCTGTTTGGGAGGCTTCTTGGTGAGAGGGAGATTTTTTTACTGATTCCAGGAGTCAGAGCGGTATAAAGGGAGGGGCCTGTGGTTGCAGCCCAAAATCTGAGTTCTTACCTTGCCTTTGCCATTAACTTAGCTCCATGGGTGAGTCCCCTTCTTGGGATCCTCATCTTTGGATGAGAGGTATATTAGTCTGTTCTCACACTGCTAATAAAGATATACCAGAGACTGGTAATTTATGAAGAAAAAGAGGTTTAATGGACTCACAGTTCCACGTGGCTGGGGAGGCTTCACAGTCATGGTGGAAGGCAAATGCGGAGCAAAGGCACATCTTACGTGGTGGCAGGCAAGAGGGCATGTGCAGGGGAATTACCCTTTATAAAACCATCAGATCAGGCCAGGTGCAGTGGCTTACGCTTGTATTCCCAGCACTTTGGGAGGCCAAGGTGGGCGGATCACGAGGTCAGGAGTTCAAGACCAACCTGGTCAACATGGTGACCTGCTTCCATGATTCCATTACCTCCCACTGGGTCCCTCTCGTGACATGTGGGGATTATGGGAGCTACCAATCAAGATGAGATTTGAGTGGGGACCCAGCCAAACGATATGAAGGGGGTTGTGGTATAGAATCTCTAAAGAGCTTTCCAGTCCGAAATGCCTTGTTTTGTGATCCCTGTGAAGGACGAAAGGAAGGAGGGTGTGAGTGCTAGTTTTCCTGTTTAATGCACAAGGAATGGAGTTTCTTTTAGAGTGAAGATCCATGAACATCAAGCCCAGGAGTCTGTCCTAAGCACACACATCAAGTTTCTGAATTACTGTTGGAGGTGATGACAGTTTAACAGATTGGTTGACACTGTCATTAGGTTGGGAAGTTACGGTAAGTATCTGGGTAGACTTTTCCCCCGTGAAGAATTGCTGAACCCAGTTCCCCATTGGAACCAGAGAACTGAGAGTTTTTAGTCCTCAACTGAGTAATCCGTGGAAGCTGAGTCAAGTCAGTCGGTTGTGGATAACAGCCTGGGAGTGTTTGGGAATTCTGCCCTTGTTTCATGGGAAAAGGGAGAGAATACCTTTCCTTGTCAGGCTGAGGTTGCAGAGCTCCAGATCTTCGAGGACACCTTGGGATTGTCTAGAGTAGTATTCTACCACTTAGAGTCACTGCACTGAAAGAGAGTGGATTTATTATTTTAGATGATAGTGTTACAGAGCACATGGGA